AGTTTTTTGTTCTAAATTTAGCTTTTTCAGTCAATTCCACATTTTTTAGTTGATTTCAGCTCCTTTCACTGCCTTCTAGTAGTTTAAGCTTATTTCTGCCTTTTAAGCAATTTTTTAGCTAATTTCCTAATTTTTGTGCTCATTCCTGCTTATTTAAACCTAATTCAACAAATATGTGTTATTTGCTTTCTTCTGTTAACTTATGCTAGTTCTTCCTTTTCAGCTACATTTCAGCATGTTTTTAGCTAATGTCAGCCGTTTTTCAGCAAGCCCTTCAGCAATGAGCATTCACACTGCATTTTTGCAGTAAATGCAATTTCTCTAGTTAAAACTAAAGCAAGAACTAAAGCGTTTACCAACAGAACGAGCAGCTGCAGTTATTAGATGACATCATTTACTGGAGTCCAACAGAATCACTGACTGCTGTGTGAGAGTGGGAACTCCAAAATTACCTCGCAGTAAAACGTTGCACTATTTAGTCAGCTAATTTAAACTTTTATGCACTCGAATGCTTAAATGCATACAAACGTAATCTTGGAAATGCACGTGAGCGCTGAACTCTCTCGTCCGGGTTCCTTCTAATCATCCTCCGCCACATGTGCCCCACGAAAACTGACGCAGACCTGAACCCATTTAGACGCAACCACCGCAAAAGATCCGACGTGAAAGCAAAGCCGGTGGACGCGAAGATAACAGAAGCGGCTTGTGCATCACTTCAAAAGCAGCTGTTTCTTTTCCGACCATCTTTGATAAAACAGCAGCTAAAGAGCCACATTAAAACCGACGATCCAGGGAAACCTTTGGAACATTTTCATCTGCAACACATGGATTCTATCTCTTCAACTCTCCCTTTCTTACAGTAAACACCCATCTGTGCACAATTAAGGCGTGCAAGCAGCCATCTCTCACACACCGTTTTGTTGCACTCAAACACACACACTTAAGCTCATATCAGCTTAATTGCTACTTTTCATTGTTGTAACCTTTTGCTCATACAAACTGCTGAAGCTGCTTGAATTTTTTCTTTTATAGTACTTTAAAACTTTGTTCTCTTTGCATAAATTATACTAATGATAACTAGATAATTTTAAAGAACTTGCTGAAAAACAGCTGAAATTAGCTAAAAAGAATTCTGAAATGTAGCTGAAATGGAAGAACAAGCCTAAGTTACCAGAAGAAAGCAGGAAGAACACTATTTGCTGAATTAGGTTTAGATAAGCAGAAAAAAAATGCTGAAAATAGCAACAACAAAAAAACATGCTGAAATGCAGCTGAAAAGGCAGAAAGAAGTTTAAACTAGCAGAAGGAAGAGGAAAGAACTGAAATTAGCTAAAACATGTGGAATTACCTGGAAAACCCAAAATTAACATCAAAATAGTTAAATAGTAGCTGAAAGAGCAGAAAAAGGTGAAACTAGCAGAAAAAAGCTGAAAGGAGCATAAAGAAGTTAATTCGGCTGAAAGTAGCAGGAATTACCACAAAAACTTGAATTTCTCTGAAAACAGCTGAAATTAGCTAAAAAATGCTAAAAAGGTAGCTAAAATGTAGAACAAGCTTAAATTACCAGACGAAAGCAGAAAAAACATGTTTGCTTAATTAGACTGAAAGAAGCAGAGATTAGCACAAAAAAGTGGAAATTATCTGAAAAAAAGCTGAAAGAAGCAAAAATCAGCTGAAAAGTAGCTAAAAAAGCCGAAAGGAGCTTAAATTAGCAGAAGGAAGTGAAGGAAGCACATTTTTGCTGAATTAGGCTGAAAAAAGTTTAAATGAGTGCAAAAAATGTGGAATTAGCTGAAAAAGCTAAAATAAGCATAAAACCAGATAGTAGCTGAAATAAGAGCTGAACTTTGTAGAAATAAGCTGAAAGGAGTGTGACAAGCTAAAATTAGCAGAAAGAATCTGAAAGGAGCACAAAACAGCTGGAAAAAACTGCTGAAATTAGCTGAAAGTAGCTGAATAAATGTTAAAATATGCAGAAGGAAGCTGAAAGAAGCTGAACCAGAGCAAAATGTGAAAGGAGCAGTAAAATGTTGTAAACAGATCTAAAGATTTGAAGGATGGAAAATGAGCTCAATTCATTTTCTATGAGATAAAAAGTGGCAGAAAAGGCTAAATATTTCTAAAAGCTAAAGTTGCACCAATACCAAAAGTCACAGCAGGACTGTCCTGAAAGAACATTTTGATTTATGATTTGATGAAATAGCACAACAATTGTGGAACTAGAAAGATGCCAAAAAAAAGTACAGAAGAAAAATGGATCTCAATAGTGTGGATGCTTCATAAGTGTTCAGAGTTTTGAGAATGTAAGAATCAGCTGCAGAAACTTTGATGTATTCCAACAAAACCAGCTCCACTTTTCAGATCGTAGGGGAGAAACTGGTCTGGCCGAACTGGCGCTGCTCAGATGGTTCCTTCAACATCTCTACTGTGGACCACTAGCTTGTAAAATGGACATTTCTATCACCTGCCTTGATGTGTTTCAATTGGGTCTGTAGCGTTAGCAAAATATCTCATGAACCAGTGGACACATATGAATTAACTTTCAGAAAGTCCTCGAATGAACTGATTAACATTTGAAGTGGACGCCGTTCAAGATGGCTGCCACAGCTACTCAACCTTAGCATCACAACGATGGTGGAAACTGCCAATTGTAGCAGATACTGAATTAAAATTTGGTGTGGTAGTAGCTGATACTCTTCCTCAACACATACCCAGAGCCAGAACTAAATGAGCTAGATCTATATGTAATTTTTTTTTTAATTAACTATTGCAAGCAACTCTGTCTGTTAGCAAAATATCTCAAAAACCACTGGACGGATTTGAGTGAAACTTTGAGAAAGTAATGAATTGATGTACACTGACCAACTTGCGAGCTCAGCCCAATTCAAGATGGCTGCCACAGCCACGTAACCGTTAAGAAACAAAAAATGTCTATAACTCAATCAATATATAA